GTTATAAAATATGTAAGATTTATATAATTATATTATTAATTACTTTAAAACTTGTAATTGTCAAAAAATTGACTCTGGGATATGGAACACAATCAATTGACATTTTCCTAGAGGGTTATATTTATGTAATAAGTGCTACTTCTCTTACAAACCTTTACAATTAAATAGATTTCAATTATTGTTCCTACATCGTGTTTCTCAAATGAGGTAAGAATAATCTCTTCGCGTACCAACCAAGTGAATCGAAGCTTCTCTGAATTAAACTGTAATAATATAAGCTGTATCTGTTCATCTAAAAATATCACAATATTTAATATATAATTGTAATGTTAGTTCACATAAATCTTAAAGTATCTTAAACAAATAGCCCAACCCATCTCATCTTACTAAAAAGAAGTTTTAAGCCAAAAGTAATAATTTTTGAAAAAATATAACAAAATCATTGATGGTATCATTTAATAACCGAATAAGCTTATTATAGATACCACAACTTGATACATTCGGTAATTTTACTTCACACATCAAAAGATATAACGAGTGTCCTTCGCACGTATAAGTGATTGCAGCATCAACTTTCTGAGAATAAACCCGAATATATGTAACTCCAGATTATACGTTACCATAGTAGGGTTCAGAATTTCTATTTGGCTGAAAACAAATTGTTTCATTTCCTTTAATTATAATTTTTTCAGAAATAATGTTTTCTTCTTTATCTATAATATTATTAAAATATTCCCGGGATTGATTAAAAGCAGAAGGTAATAATCCAAATGGCGGCTGATAATGCCAACTTTTTCGTTCAATAATATATTTTGCAGGATGTTCAGGACTAATTGTTTATTAAATTTGGGTTGATTTAAATAATTTAACCAGTTTTTTGTAATAAATTTCAGGCAAATTCATGGTTAGTAATCTTACTCATGAAGATGAAAGTATTGCAACAGGTCATCAAAAACAATATTAAGAGGATGATATATATATTTATAAACATAATGTGATTTAAGGCTGACAGCAGGTAGGTTGATCCATTCTAGTAGCCTGTGAATCGAAAAAAATAATGAGATTGAAAGATAAAATTAATAATAATATAACAATATAAACTTGCCATGACTTCATAATTGTTTTATAATAATTTTGATAATATTCATCTAAATCAGAATTTAATTCTATTTTAGGTAAAGGTTCAAGGTCTAGATTATACTTTTCAAATACTAAATCCATAGCGTTATTAATGTCATCATATTGTTCTGCTAGAAATTTAAATAAAGTCATTTTCAATACGTAAAATGGCATTTCTTGGATAAATAAACTGCCAAATTTCGCTGGTGAAATTTACTATAAAACAATAAAATAGGTCGGTTATGGGGAGTTCTAGAAGTTTTTTCCTTTATTTTACCAAGATCTTTTAGCTTTTTGAAAAACTGTTGTGGCTTGATATTTGACTATAATTTGAATAGATATTAATAAAAATATTAATAAAATAATAAAACTTAGGAACTTATCAGAAAGTTCATATATACTTTGATAATTTTTTCTTTTTTTTGAATTTCTGCTTGCAGAAGAATTTCTTAAATCTGAACTTCTAAAATATTTTTCAGATAATTTATAGTAGTTATTAGTTGTGTTTTATCAGTGCAAGAATAAATAGCGGTCTGCATATTTGATAAAATATCTGTAT